AGGGGGACTCTGGGGCCTCCATTATCCCAAACCACTTACAGAGCCAGTGATAGGAGAGCCACGAAGGGCTTCTGGTTCCAAACAAAGGCCTCCTTCAAAAGAAATAGCAAAGTATGAGGAGTAACTGTTCCATCTTCTTCCAATGATATGTTGAATGCCAAATAGGAAGGTCACATTAATTTTCACATGTGATATAAGACAAACGTTGGCTCATGAATGGTTATACCCCCATCTTTCCTTGTCATCTTTTCATCATTTAAGGATGTAAAAGCAAAACCAGTTAGATGAGGATTTAATCCATAGTAACCTCTGCATTGAAAAGCCTTCCAAATCAGTGACACTTCTGTCAACATACCCACCAGGTGGAGATAGTAACTTGGTTCAGGGCCAGAATAAAGTTGAAATGTAAATATTGAATGTTGTCAATGAAGTAATTTCCTTAAACTCTGACCTTTGTTTCAGCTAGTTTCTTTCAGAAGAAGATAAATAAAAGCAAGAAGAGTTAGAACCATTTTAGTGCTGGTGAATGTATAGAAATAAGGAGAATAAGCAACAATAGAGCACAAGTTGATTGATCCAGTTGAAAAATAAAAACATGAATGATTTGATACTTTGGCTAAAAGAACTGAAATTTTTTCAACGAATTGACCAAGTTCATTAATGCTTTTTTTTTTTTTTTTTTTTTTTTTTTTTGCGGTACGCGGGACTCTCACTGTTGTGGCCTCTCCCGTTGCGGAGCACAGGCTCCGGACGCGCAGGCTCAGCGGCCATGGCTCACGGGCCCAGCCGCTCCGCGGCACGTGGGATCTTCCCGGACTGGGGCACGAACCCGTGTCCCCTGCATCGGCAGGCGGACTCTCAACCACTGCGCCACCAGGGAAGCCCTCATTAATGCTTTTGGTGTAGTCTCTGCCTGTATCTTCCTGGTTTAGAAGTGGGAGATCCCACAAAACCCCCCTTCTGTCAAATTTTCCTACCTCCTCCTACAGTTTGCTTTTATGAGGTTCTGCGTGTAAGGAAGGGAAGGAGAATTAGACATATAACCTGACACTCAAAGAAAGAGAAGAGAACGAGAAGTGGAGAAAGTAGAACTGAGTTCGAGTCTCTCTCCAATTTATGTCTGAAAGTCTTCTATTCTGGGGAAAGTCACTGCATCTACCTGGTGCTCAGTTTTCCGACATGTAAATATAGTGGTAGGACTCCTAAGTCATGGATTCTTAGCCTGGAGTTCATAGATTATGTAAGCACAACATTGGAGTGAATATATAATTTCACTTTTCTGGGTAAAGAATCCATAATTTTTATCTGGATAAAAACGGTTGTTAACAACCATTGTCCTAGATGACTTTTATGGTCACTTCCTGGTCTTGTATTTTATTACTGCAATAGGCAGAGAATCAGAGGAAGCAGTAAACAGGCATGGATCAGAGTGACAGAAGACAGGCACAGAAGTTATTGTTTTCCTTATGCTGCTACCAATGCTGAGCACCTATGGGTTGTTCACCTTTTGCCAAAGTCACTCCAGGGTCCACATACCCATAAATAATGGGCTATCTCCTCGAAAGAAGGGAATCCTGTGTGCAGAATACAAAGTGTACTACATTTTACGTCATTAATTCATAAAAGAATTTTTGGACATTCAGAAACTAGATTTGCACAATTCCTATCATGTATTATTTCCATTAGCTTTGACTGAAAGGAAAATCCTTCATGACACTATCAAACGAAGCTTCAGAATGACTGAAGCCATATGCTGATGGCTAGAGGCTTCTTACAAACATATTTTAGATCACCTTCTAAAACTACAGAGGCCAATAATCTGAATGGGAATTGGGGAGGACAGAGGTGAGAAGAAGCAATAATAAAATAATGAGCTATCAAAAAGATATAGTAATTAAAAACCCCAAACTGGCACATTTGTCTAAAAAGTGAAGCCCCTTGGAGACACCACCACATTCACCCTGTACTTAATAAGCTAAGTGGAGAGACAATCTGGCATTATCCCTCCCCTCCACTTCCTTGTTGGCACAGAGATGAGACAGGGAGGAGGCCAGCAGAAGTGTCTCGTTTGTGTACACCTCTGAAGGCTAGGCTATCTCTTACCAGACATAGGAAGAAAAGATGTCTTAGGTTAAACCATATAAACTACTATCTTTGAAAATAAAAGCTGGTCAAATACTGGCAATGTCATATGATTCAACCTAGTATACAGAATACCTCCAAAGCAGGATATTCTAGCCAATTTGGCGTTAACAAGGTGTTCCTGACTCATCCTTCACTGGCAGAAATAATTAAGACTTTGGAGAAAAAGACAAGAGATGGTTAATTCACTGTGAAATCAAGTTGGTCCATTCTTAATGATCGTAACAATGTTTTAAAAAGAAAGAAATGTTCAAATTCCAAGATATCTCCTAAGCCAACCCAGAAACAGAGTTAACATGTCTCACGGTATTCAACTTAACAAATCTCCTTGCAGAGCCTATTGTCTACAAAGCACAGGTTGTTGGATTATAAACACTTGCAGGATTTCTTGGGATTAATCTTAAAGGAAGGCAGAAATTCTTCCATGAGTGGGGAATAGCTAACACCTCAGGAGTTATTTGCTAACAAAGAAAGCCTTCTGAATTATCACCATCATCTCTGAAATTGTTCTATTTTTAAAAAAATAATCTTTTGTGCATATAATCACGGTATTCAACAGCCTGGATATACCATAATTTAACCAATTCCCAACTGCTGTATACTTAGGTTATTTCTAATCTTCTTATATTATTAATTTTTCTAGAATTAATACTTTTCAATATTAATTGAATGGCATAAGGCTATTTTATGCCAAGGAAGTTGGACAGCTACTAGAGTTTAAATGTTAAAGTTTAAAGTTTCCTATGAGTTTAGGAAATGGATGGAAGAAGCATTCAGCTGGGCTGCTCAGCCTCTCACAAGGATCGAGTCTAGTAGTTCCTCTCTAGTGGATCTCATCCAGGGGTGTGAGACTAAGGAAGGTCAAACCCAAGGGAAACTCTGATTTGATTAGCTTTATAAATTTTTTTTAAATTATTCTGCAACTCAAAGTTCCCAGTTTTTCTTAGAGAATTTACCAATTTAAAAGATCATTTTCCCTAATAAGAACCTACTGAATATCACAGGGAACTCTATTCAATACTCTGTGATGATGACCTATATGGGAATAGAGTATAAAAAAGAGTGGATATATGTGTATGTATAACTGACTCACTTTGCTGTACAGCAGAAACTAACACAGCATTGTAAATCAACTATACTCCAATAAAAAAATTAATTAGAATAAAAAGAAGAAAAAAATAAAACAAAATGTAAGTATATTGAAGCTACTGAAAGCATTTTGTTATAACTAGAGTAACAGATAGAGACGGGAATTTGGGTAATGATGGTGTTTAAAACATTTTTTAGTATTAGATAATAGAGGTCCCAGTATGCCATGCTTGTAATTTGAATTTACCTTGAATGAGCTAGCAACATAACTAACAACTTATGTTTTACTAGTGTGTTGATACACATTATTTTCAATGACGTTGATAACAGGGTTAAGAATTAAAACTATGTACATTATATACATGAGGAAACAAACAATATGAATAGATTTTCTCAAGAAAACAAAATTAATGTGGCAGCTTTAAGGGTTTTGTCTTTGACTTCAAATCTAATGTTCTTTCAATGAAACATCTTGCATTTAGTAGGTGCTCAATTAATGTACCATGAACTGATATTTTACTAACAGCAAGAAAATAAAATAATTCGAGATGAAAAAAATTAAAATTTAAAATTAAAAAAAATAAAAGATCATTTTTCAAACAACAAATTTAAATCATTGGCTACCTCTTTTTTCCCCAGTTTTATTGAGATATAACTGACACATAGCATTGTATAAGTTTAAGGCGTACAACATAATGAGTTTACATACATATATATTATGAAATGATTACCACAATAAAAACATCCATCACCTTACATAGTTATAATTTTTTCTTGTGATGATAACTTTTAAGATATACTCTCTTAGCAACTTTCAAATATACAACACATTACTGTTAAGTACAGTCACCATGTTGAACACTATGTCTCCAGAACTTCTTCATCTTACAGCTGGAAGTTTGTACCTTTTGACCACCTTCATCCACTTCCCTCAACCGCCTCTCCCTGCCTCTGGCAACAATCGATCTACTTGCTGTATCTATAAGTCTGATGTTTTAGATTCTGCATATAAGTGAGATCATACAGTATTTGTCTTTCTCTGATTTATTTCACTTAGCATAATGTCCTCAAGGTCCATTCATTGCTCTTGCAAATGGCAGGATTTTCCGCTTTTTATGGCTGAATAATATTCCATTGTACATATACACCACATCTTCTTTATCCATTCATCCCTTGATGGAAACTTAGGCTGTTTCCATGTCTTGGCTATTGTAAATAGTGCTGCCATGAACACAGAGATGCAGATATCTTTTCAAGACAGTGCTTTCATTTTCTTCAGATAAACAACCAGAAGTGGAATTACTAGATCATTTTTAATTTTTTGAGGAACCTCCATACTGTTTTCCATAGTGGCTGCAGCAGTTTACATTGCCACCAACAGTGCACAAAGATTCTCTTTTCTCCACATTCTTACCAACACTTGTCATCTCGTCTTTTTATTTTTATTTCTTATTTTTACTTATTTATTTTTTTGCTGTACGCGGGCCTCTCACTGTTGTGGCTTCTCCCATTGCGGAGCACAGGCTCCGGATGCACAGGCTCAGCGGCCATGGCTTACGGGCCCAGCCGCTCCGCGGCATGTGGGATCCTCTCAGACCGGGGCACGAACCCACGTCCCCTGCATCGGCAGGCGGACTCTCAACCACTGCGCCACCAGGGAAGCCCCTATAAGTTTTTTTTAATTGGAGTGTTGGGGTTTTTTTGTTGTTGTTGTTACTGAGTTATATGAGTTCTTTGTATATTTACACACCTTATGTATATATTTTAGATATTAACTCCTTATCAGATATATAATTTGCAAATATTTTCTTCCATTCTGTAGGTTGCCTTTTCATTTTGTTGATGGTTTTCATTGCTGTGCAGAAGCTTTGTGTAGATTAATGTAGCTGAAATGGTTAGATCATGACAGTAACCACTGAAACTATGTTAGGAGGAGAAAATTTTAGGAGCATGAAGAGTAGTGCTCAACTTATGGTGCTAGTGTTACGGGTTATTGGGCCTCCTAAAGAAAGGCAACAAAGATAGACTTTGGCTTTGTTATTTCTAGCTGCAGCTTCCCAGGGAAACTGGGCAGTGGAGATGACATTCTAGAGAGGTCGTCAGTAAAATTTACAACCTCTGTCAGCAGGAGCAGGGCTCTTGTTGGTTGACATTCCGAGGAAGGTCCATCTGTTTGTTCAGCTTTTTCCTGAGGGATCCAGAAAGGGACAGCTTCAGTTCCATAATAAGTTGAACTCTCTAATATTAAAGAGTGAGCTTTGTGGTTGAGTCAAAATATTGAAACAGATAATATGCTGACATGCACACAATTTTTAAATTCACAACCTTCACCAATTTAAACACACACACATTGTAACATTGTTTTCTGAGCATTTCTCTCCCTAATGCAGTAGTGAAGCCAGTTGCAGCCCCACATATGTATATGTATATGCATATGCATATGCATATATATAGTCTCCACTAGATCCTCAGTTATTATCAGTGAATCTACAGATATTAATAATAATAATAGTATATGGTAAGTAGTAATGATAATAAACCTGTATAATAATTACAAGTCCAGCTAGAATTCTGTACCAAGAAAGAAAATTTAAGATAACGACTCTTGCCATGCAGGTTGGAGAAAAAGAACTTATAAAATTATTATTATTATTATTATTTTGCCGTAAGCGGGTGTCTCACTGTTGTGGCCTCTCCCGTTGCGGAGCACAGGCTCCGGACGCACAGGCTCAGTGGCCATGGCTCACGGGCCCAGCCGCTCCGCGGCACGTGGGATCTTCCCAGACCGGGGCACGAACCCATGTCCCCTGAATCGGCAGGTGGACTCTCAACCACTGCGCCACCAGGGAAGCCCCATAAAATTATTTTAAAAGTTATCAAATGAGATATAGATAGGACTTTTAGCAATAATTTCTAAAATGTATACTAGGACCAATGAATAGTATGGGGGAAAGAGAAATACAAATGGGAGCTGGAGGAGTCAAGAAACATTGATGAGGCAGAGCTTTAATTGATGGCTTCTTGTTTAGTTTCACTTTTCCATGGTGGGAGAGGAAATGTAGGGGGTACCAAGTGGAGAGCCAAGACAAACAAAAATAAAGAAGCAGGAAATGGCATGTTTGGAAGTTAGTGAGTATAGAACAGTTTGGCTGAAATAAAGGGCCAGATATTTTCTAGGAGTAGCTAAGACCTAACTTTAGTCTTAAGTCAGAGGGTTTGAAACACTGTTGGAGGTGATGTAACTTTTGTCCCAGCAATGGGTTAGTAGTAAATACTCAGTTTTGTAAAGCAGCTAGCTCACATCCAAAAAAGGAAATAATAGCTAAATTCAATCATGTTTCCAACCTGCAAAAACAAATGAAAAGATAACTCCATTCAGCACATTTAGAAGAATCAGCTGGGCCTTCTGGGGTATTCCCTGTGGTCTGGTAGCTTGGTAGAGCTGACAGATGCTTTGAGCTTTTAACATTTTTCAGAAAAGCGGTTAGAAATAGTAACTGGGATCACGGGAATAAATCTTCAATAGTCAATGAAAAGACCAAGGGAAACCCCACAGCACAAGAACAGAAGACAGAAAAAGAAGAGACAAAAGTTGGGCAATTTTAACTAAAGCCACTCATTTCCTCATTTTTGAACCAGCTGTATTGCTGTTAGACATCTGGGCCGATTAGTATCATCTGGTGAAGGAAGCAGGCTGGCAGTAAAGCAGAATGATCATCAAAACAACTAGGATTTGTATATCACTTATTATAAATTATAAAACACTTTCAAATACATGATGTGATTTCAAACTCTCAAGAATTGGTGAGATCAACAGGATGGGTCTTAACCTCACTATAGAGATATGGAAGCTCTCAGTGCCTATGTAAGTAACCACCCTAAGTTATTCCCAGAGTAAATCATTGAATTGGTCTTTCAACTTCTAGTCCAATGATTTTTTTTACTACAAAATTGTTTCCTCTACATTACAGGCACAAAACAGTTAAAAGAGTGTATATAAAGAAGACTTTATCTTTTATTTTGGCTAACCCAAGATATTCTTGAGTGTCTTGAAAACTTCATTACTGATTCTAAAAATACATTCCCAGCCCAATATCCCACCGAGTTTAGGCCAGTGTGTGGGCATCACATGCCTTTATCAAAGGGAGAGGATTAACACCTAAAGGTACCCTTTGTACATAATGAATTAACTAACATCTCCCCTATGCAAAGAATGGCACTAGTCAGCTACCATTCTTAGAACTAACTGTTTCTCAACTATCTCTGTACTCTATGGTTTTGATGAAGATCCTGGTAGTGCACTTATCTTTGAGGAAGGAGTCCCTTGGCAACCAGAAGGAAGTACCACACTTCCCCCTGCCTATGTTCTATAGAGACTTTACAATAAAGGTGATGATAATGATGACAAATGTCATTTATTGAGAATTTATTACATGCCAAGGACTATTATAAGTGCTATATACATATTACCTCATTTCACCTTCAAAACAAATTTGGAAAGCAGGTGTTATTATCATTATCATCTTACAGATCACAAATTTGAAGCTCAGAGAAGTCAATTAACCTTGTCCAAAGTCACACATGGAATAAGGGGCAAAACTGAAATTTAAACTGAGGTCAGTTTTATTCCAAAGCCATCCCATTGCCCATTATACAGAGGGTACATTGCAACAGAGGGTACACTCTACCATTTTCATTGCACAAGATGACTGCTTCTCCTCCACCCCATCCTCAACTGTTCCAGAGAAAGAGCAGCCTTGTAAGCAAGCAAAAAAAAAAAAACAACAGTTGGGCAACAAATTGGCCCCTAGCATTTGAATCAATGTTGAAACCAAAAATAAGTATAAAATCATGAATAATATGAGTGGAACTTGAAGGAATCTCAAGAGATCATAGACTCTTCCATTCAGTCAAGTTATATTCACTGGGAATCTACTGTGTGCTACATAATGCACTAGAAGTTGAAGATGAAAAAAGAAAAGAAAAGGCATACTTCCTGCCTCTGAGGAACTTGCATTCTAAAAGGAAATACAGGCACACAAATGATTGCAATACAGCTAATAAGTATGTACAAATTAAAGAGGGGGCACAAAGAAAAGAATGACCAACTTTGTTTGGGGTCCCAGTCTGGCTTTCCAGAAAAAGATGCTTGGACTGGGTCTTAAAGTATAAGTAGGAGTTTGACAGATAAAATTTTGTGAGAATGACACTCCAAGAAAAGAGGAAGAGAACATTTAAAGGGATGGGATATAAAATCACATGGGAGGTTTGGGGACATGTGACTAGTTCAACATGGCTGAAGTGTTGGATGAGGGAAAAGGCAGTAGAGATAGAAGACTAGTGAGGCTGGTCATGGAAAGCCTTGTAAGTCAGTCATCCAATGGGAGATGAGGTGCCACTGAAGTTAGAAGAGAGATTATTGCAACAGATTGAGAAAGAGAGGACAAGGAGCTGAGCTGGGGCAGCAGCACTAGAAGGAACCAGTCACGGAGGAGAAGTAATAAGGAAGCCAAATCAACAGAACTGAACTAAATCACTGATCGGAAGAAGGGGTTTGGCAGGTGATCGGGAGAGGGGAAGAATCAGGAAGAGGACATCCAAGTTCCGGGTTTGGGTTGGATGAGTGAATGGGCAAGGCAGTGAAAAGATGAGGGGTTCAGTAGGGAGTAGTTTGAGATAGTGGTATCTGTAGAACCTCTGGTGAATGTTCTGAGGGTGCGCAGACACGTGAAGAGACTCAGTCACGTAGATCATCAAATTGGATCCTTGAATCCCTGGCCAAAATAAAATCTGCCCATTGGTGGCATCCAGGTGACACATTTTTCTCACCATGAAAAATACTGGCATTTAGAATTTATATTATTCCCTTCTTTCTAATTGTTTGGAGATGACTTTCCCCCCAATGCAAATAAACATGCTTAGGAATTCTCTAACTCCTTTTCATATATTTTTTTCATAGAGATTCTAGTCTTCAGTTCTAACTCCTGCCAATCAACCATTTCTAATACAAATACCCAAAGGATTGTATGGAACAAGGACCAACTTTTACATAAAGACCTGTTTACTCTTGTCCTTTCATAAAAGTTAAGTGGCACCTGGGCAAAAATGTGGGGTTAACAGTAATGTACCATATCAGGAAGGAAAAAAATGAGTTCTCTAATAGCACACACTTAAGAAACTATCTTTGTATATAAAAACTTGACTTAAAAATTGTTTTTAAATGTTTAATTGGGCATCAGGCCCTTAGGGTGCAGTGTTACAGTAAAAACCCAAGAACTAAAATATATTCACGTTTACTCTCCTATAATTGCCTTGAATTGCAAATAAAGGATTACCACAAGGTAATATGAGGGAGGAAATTCCTTCTATGTTAAAGATTAAAGAGTGCAGGCAGGGTGGAAATGAACTGGTAAGTCTCATGTGTATCTGAGTAAGCAAGAAAGGTGTGCAAGGGAGAATTGTTAAAGGACATTCTAATTATGATTAGGATAAAGGCCTGTTCAGCAAAGCGGTCTCTTCTGGCTTCTAGTGATATCAGTCTGCATAATAGAAATAATAAGTTAAGGTTGTGAGGTTGTCAGAGTCTCTTGTGACTATTAGACTTATTTCCTCAGTGAGTCACACTTAGAATGTCAGAGAGATCAATTTATGTGAATACGATTAATAAGGTAATTAAGAAGTAGAGACAGCTCAAGAGGATATTGCCTGATAATTAATAACCAGCTGGAAAGGATGAGGATCCTAGGAACTGAATTAGAGAATTTCCATCAATAAGATATGGGCTATCGTCTGAGGCAGCCAGGGTTAGTATCTGCTGCCGTCTGCTAAACAATAAAACTCAGATTAAACAGGGCTTCTTGGAACTTTATGGCTTATAATTTTATATCTGATAATTTTATGTTCTAGAGAGCCCAAAGAAAGGGTGCCAGAAAAAAGCAAAAGGAAAGGGGGAACCATACCCTACATGAAAATAGCACCTGGTCTAGAGTGAGGGTCTGGTTCTACTCCCACCTCTGCTAGAGGTCAGCTGTATAAACTGAAACAAAGCACTTCACGTTAAGGCCTCAATTTCTTCACAGGTCAAAGGGAATGATTGAACTCTATGACCTCTACAGTTCCTTGCAGCTCTGAAATTGGAATTATAAGTAGTTGCTTAACAATGACAACCAGAAAAGCTAAAATAATGAA